TCTTTGTGCCTCATAACTATATTTCTGAATACCAGATAGTGGAGTATTGTACAGCATAAGAAGGTTTTGATTTCCTGTTCCAGTTGTGTATTTCTCAAAAACATTTGTTTAGCTATAGCTGGATGCAGAATTAAAAGGATTCTCAGTTTGATATGTGAAGCTGAGGGGATGTAAGATGCTCTCTGTTGCAGGACTCCAGAGAGCTATTCAGTACATTTCTGTACACTTTTTTTCTGTTCACATCTGGTCTGTGAAGAGCACAGGCAAGAAATTGAGAACAAGGCAAAGGCAGGTGACTTTTACATTTAGAGAACTTAACTACACAACAGTCTTCAGATATGCAAATGGAGAAACACTCAGGGTTTTGCTGCAGAGGCCTGTCAACAAATTCCCTGCCCATCCAGTTGGAAAATACAGCTTGAGTAGATTTTTTGCAGAGTTCATTACTGGATGCCATAGCACATTTTCACATCATTGTTGTAACCATATCTGCCATGTCATTTGTAACCTGCTTCAGTGCCCATATGGTGAATCTCAGGTGAGTGCCAGGCTAGCTGGAAATGCCAGCCTGTGACCAGGTCAACCAAATGTTGAAATTTAGGAGCATATATATAATATATAATACACACACACACATCTGGCTATATTTATAAAAATTGATCAGCCTGCTCTCAAAGAGTTACAGAATAAAGTAGAATTAGGCAGACATTCTTAACAGGTTCACCCAAACCAGCCTTTTGGGAGGCTGCAGTTTGCTTAGATTTATATAATCTTCTGAACCAGAAGGCCTCTTTGACCCAGACCTCAGGTGTGCTGGGGGACTGTAACCATCTGCCTTGTAATATTCTGAAAGAGACTGATCCATTTTGTGATGCTTAGTAACCAATTGACTGGAGCATTTTATTTTTATTTCACTGTTTCTTCGCACTTGCTTGACAGTCGGCCTCAAGCACACTACATTTAGCATCTGTGTGGCAAGGGTGGATTGGTTGCGTTTTCATTCATAACTGATTTAGTACATATTTTGAAACGCCTAAGATCTCACCAAAACCAGAGCTCACTCAAGCCGGCTTAGGCATCACAGGAGAAAAGCTACGTTATTAGTCTTCGGTGGCATCTGATGAAGTGAGCCGGAGCTGCTGAAAACTTCAATTTTTTAATAAAACCAGGTTGGTCAGAAAGGCTGCTTCCAATTCCTCAGGATTTCAGGCCAGTTTGGGATCGCTCCCAAGAAAAGGAGGCGTGTAGCAAAAGGCTCTCAGCTGGAAGTGGTTTAAAAGCATTCTACATGTTGTGGAGGCCTGAGGTAAGGCCTTTGCAAAACAGGATTCCCCCCCCCCCCATACACACACACTCTGGGGGCCCTCCCCACAAGAAACCTTGAATGGCTGTTCCCACCCCTTCTCCCCCATGCCCGCTCTTTGCTTCCCGAGAAATGAATGGCAGCGGCTCTCCCCGAAGTCCCTCCTCTTCAATTACAGATTCAGTTGCCATCGAGACTGAGGGATATAGGCAACCGGCGCCTCCTATTTTGCACCTGCTATAGAAATCAGGCCTGCCCGGGCCTCCGTTTCCTCCTCCGGCTCTCAAGCTCCATAAGATTTCAAGCTTTGCAGCGCTGCTGTTATTCTTAAACTTCCAGTTCCCCCTCCCCCAGGGCCTGATAGGAAGGTCAAGATTTAATGATGCTGACAGGTAATCAAGGAATAAGTCCCTGCTCCTGAGTCCCTGTGGTGGGATCCTCGAATTCAATCAATGTGAATTCTTTCACTGCCTCGAATCTTTCAGCCACTATTTTACGTTTGCGGAAGGTATAGTTAGAATTGGCTTCCCCACTCCAATTTCTCCTTTTAAAAGCTATTTTGATTTTTAACACTCCAGTTTTGAGGATAGAGCCTGAGTTGTCTGGGGGAAGTTGTGGGGCGAGGGAGAAGACAGTGGTGAGTTAATCTCTTTTCCAAAGTGGCAAGAAGATCTGCCTGGATTGTAAATTCCAAAAGTGGAGTCCAAAAGTGGTAATGCTGTTGAATATTTTAAAAGGAGTTTATTCCAGATAAAGTCAGGCGTCCCAATTTTATTGGTACCGAAATGGGCTGCTGTATAACCTATTTTTTAATTACTTTTCAGGCACAAGCAATGCACATATTAAAAGGACTAGGGGATTATGATCGCGGTGGAAGGGATAAATTAAGGATTAAGTATAGAATGTTTTCAAGATTGCAATTGGAAGGTTTTTTTCCCTTCCAGAAACCTGCAGGGGACTGATTTTTTATTATATAGTATTTGAACAGGTACTTGAACTTTGCACACTGTCAGGGTAAACTATATCTTAGCTTTATATGGACACTATTGAAAGAGCATTATTTGTGTTCACTGTTGGCGCTATGTTTGTAAACTCGCGTTATGTTTCATGTTTCTGTTCAAAAATTAAACCAAGGAAAGAGCCTAGAAATAAAGTATTTTGCAGATGTGGGTGTTGTGGTTTTTGTGTGAGTGTATGTTCTCTTTTGTAGCCAAGCTTCAAATTTTCTTCACCTGATGCAGCTAATACACAATACTTCCTGTTCGGACAAATGATGCTCAAAATGGCTTCATTAGCTAAAGTTAAGGTAGGGTGGTCAGCGATAGCTTTGAATTCATTGTGCATCTTCAAAATGATTTAGTTCCCGGGCTGTTACTCATCTCTGTCAACAAATCAAATTGTGACAAATGGAGCCAGTCCACCGTTGGGGAGCTGAAAAGTTAAAAAGTAATGGGATTTTTAATATTTGATCATTTGTCTTCCTATGTGGAGATGATGGCTAGGCAGGATCAGGACAGACAGAAACATATGCTTTGTGACAGGTTGTCTCAACCAACTATACATGGCACATTGACATGTATAAAGAGGCAGAACGTTAGGAAGAATGGGAGTTTTTGTGATGTCATTGGGGAGGTCATTGGGCTAAGCTGTCATCCTTAGCTATCCATCGGAATTGTCCCAAGATAGTGGGCTGGCTGAGAGGAAAGACAAGATGGACCCCTCCCCTATTCCAAATCTAGAACCTGACTGAAGTGCTGGCTGATTTTTTGACAGCATGTCAAAATCCTCTACCACTCTACTTCATGTGAAACTAGTCCTCAAGAAAAAGAATTAAAAGCTAAATAACAGGTCCACCGCTACCCTGCAGTTGCTGCTGAAGACCTTTGGCCATGTCTAAAATTATAACATTTAAAATAAAATGAGTTATAGATCCCTATAGTTCTGGCCATGCATTGATTGCTCCAGGAGTGTTGCAAAAACTGCATCACCCAAATCACAACGATTGCACTAGCAAGATACAGAAAATATGCTAAGTCTTCCAGTACTACAGTCTGGAAGATCTAACATATTTTCAGGGCATTCAAAGGGTAAAATTTCTCAGGAACTTTGCTTAGGTTTGTTTTTGCAGCTTACTGATTGCCTACTTCTCATTTTTTTTGCATTTTGTTTATTTTTTGCAATTTTAGTATAAAATACAATAACTTGGGGGGAAATGAGGGAGGGAGATAAACTGTAAAGCCTCAAAATTGAGCAAGATGTAACTAAGAGGTTTGCAGCGTAAAAATCAGGTTAGAAGCATCTGGCAGAGTGAATGAATTACTCACAGCTGAATATTATGGCTGTAAAATTATATCCAGCATTATGAGCAAAAGACAAATGATTAACCCTCAACAATTCTGGAAGCAATCAAAATAAGCTGCTGTATATCAGAACCTGCCTCTCGCTTTCTGTAGAATGCAGATTCCTTCTGTGTGAATAAACACTTATACGGATATATGCACACACACACACACATGGATATGAATTTTAGACAGTGCACTAGGTAGAGAAAAATAATTTGATGTGACATGTATAATTATTTAGTGCTGTGCGCACTACATAAATCACATTTTGGGAATGTGAAATTAAATAGATATTATGATGATGAAGTTATCAATTCACTCATGTCCGACTCTTGGTAATTCCATAGGCCAGGCCTCTCCACATCTTCTAATCCTGCACTACATCTTCGAGTTTTTCTATGCTCTGGGTGGTGTGAGCTTTGATGGTGTCCAGCCATCGTGTTCTTTGATGGCCTGGTATCCTTTTACTGATTAACTCTTCCCAATATGACAACTTTCTGCAGTGATACAACCTCAATCAATTTCATTCCTGACCTTCTCCAGATGTGAGGGGCTATTATAGCCACAATCCTCAGCCAACAGCTACTGCATTTGATTCCCAAATCTCCTAGCAGGACATGGCCAGGACTGTAGACTAAGATATCCAGAGAAGATCAGATTGGGAAGGCTGGCCCAAGAAAAACATTGACGTTGTGTGCTAAATATGACAGATTTAAAATTCTGAAATGTTCTCTCTGGAGAAATTGGTATAGAACTGAGGAACAACCTCAAAGGCCAAGCCAAGCCAAAAGCCAGACCAAACATCCTATAAAATGTATGCATGCTACTCACTGACAAAGTATTTTGACTTTATATTAAAATGTTTAATTATCCTGACACATATCTGCTCGGCCATGATTAACCTATGAATAAACCATTCAGGGTTGGGTTGGCATTCTACCAAACATCATACATCATGATTTGGAAATCATAACTCCAGGTTCAGACAACAGGCTAAAAGCAAACGACCTGCCATCGTGTGGTTTAGGGTATTGTGTGAACTCAAGTCTCTTAACCCAAATACCACAGATGATCTTCACCCACCTGTATTGACTGACTCCTCTTGCATTGAGTGTTACGGTTGCTTATGAGGGATTCAGTATCTCCTCCACTCCACCACCACCCCCCGCTAAAAAATATAGCAATGACAAGTTGCACCTTGAAAATATAGCAATGACAAGTTGCACACATTCAAGCCTTGAGGAAACCCCAACTTTCCGGAGAGCGACCGCCAGAGCAGATCCGCAGTGGCCTTTCGGTTTGTTTAAAAAAAAACGGGGCAGGCGCCCGCCCTTTCCTCCGGGCCTCCGACTTTGCAAAGCAGCCGCTGTCCCGAGCGCGCTGCGCCTGGAGGAGGAAGAGTTAAGCGCCTTTTTGTGTGTGTGTGTGTGTGAGAGTGTGAGCGTGCGAGCGCGTGTGTCTTGGTGCGGTTTTTATTCCTCCCCTGCCGCCCCGCGCTTCCGAGAGACTCGCCGCGAGCGGCGGAGAAACGGGATTGCAACAGCGAAGCCAGGAGCTCCCGAGCAGAGCGGGGCGCGCCTCTCGCCCGCACGGAGCCTCACCCGACTTTGCCCCGGTTTTGGAGGGAACCGCGCCGTCCGGAGAGGTGAAGCATCGCGCGCGCGCGCGCTCCGCTGTGGGGATCGGGCTGCTGGAGAACTCTCTTCCCCCGTCCCTCCAGCGGGGCGGCGGAGCCCTCGGGGCGGGGGGAGGGGGGCCGCTGCGCGGCACCAAAGTTTCCCCCGACGGGAAGGGAGGAGGAGCGGGCGAGGCCGCGGGGCGCCGGAGGAGAGGTTGCGCGCTGCGTCCTGGGGCGATCCGAGCCGGGTCGGGGGTGCAGCTCCCGGCGGGCGGCCAGGGGGGGCGTTGCGCAGCGCGCCGCGGACTCCGCGCCTGCCTCTGCGGCCATCTGGAGCGGGAGCTCTCGGTTGTGCAGCGGCTGCCAAAAAAAGAAAGAAAGAAATGTTCCTCCGGCCCTTTTAAGGTGATGCTTTCCAAACTCTTCCCTTGCTGGAAATGTAAATCTCCGATCCATCACAGGGAGGATATGGGAATCGGTGCCTTGTGTGTTCTGGCCCTTCCTGTTTTGCTTCAATTCCTTTCCTTCGTGGGCTGTCGTGTATTCCCATATAAGCTTTTAATATTTGAGCGATCTGAGCCGGGGTTCATCCTCATAACTTGCTTTCAGTGTTTGGCAAAGAAAAACTCTAAGCCTGTGCCGAGTGTTTTTCTACTTCCTGTCCCGTTTCCCATCTCCCTAACAGTACCAGTAGTACAATGTATTTTTTTTTAAACAGAAAGTAATTCCTATTACCCAGAAACAGAATACAGAGAGAGAGAAGAAGGCTGAATGGTAAAAGATTAATAATTTTTTACAAGGCAAAGTCAGACGCCTTTTTGGTAGAAGCCAGGAAAAACTTCCCTGCCTTTCTTCTTCCAGTCATTATTCTATATTCTTTCTCCTCATGTTTTCCCCCTTTTCCCTAAGCAAAACAGTGGTTGCTGCCTTATATTTCTTTTGTGGCACCTCAACCATCGAGGGTGGGAATCTTCCCCCCCTGCCCTCCTTTGTCATCATTACATAACTGTTGCTTCAGTATCCTCACTTCTCTTCCATTTTGAACCTGGGTCTCTGCTCTGCTCCAACCAGTTGTGAAGACCACAAAACATTTCCCCAATGCATTCACAACAGAGAGCATTTTTGGCAGGACCACACATTGCTGTTTAAGGAGGAAAAAGATGGATCCGGTAAGACCCAAGAAGCCGTGACATTCCCGGGCAAATTTATCTTTGGAACTCAATTTTCAGAATTAATTAGCCATTGATGGTCCTTTTCTATTTACGTGAAAAGTTTTTTTCCCCTTAAACATCCCATCATAAAAAAAAGAAAGAAAAAAAACTGGACCCAGAATCTTCCACTTAGAAAAAGGGAGAATAACCATTTTTCTATCCACATGTTCTGTACAGTATATCACCACCTTCCTTTTCTTTTTACGCCCCTCAATTAAACCTGCCCCAGAATCGCTTAGCCTTTTTTCTCACCTCTCTTTGTCTGAGCCAATGAATGGGCTTATCTTCTAACAAGCAATCCAGAGGGGAAAGTAATTGCACTTTATTCAGTGGCTAAATCTTGCTAACCCCCCACCCCATAAGATAATAAATAAAAAGCCAGATGTCGGCTTTCTCAGAAGGTTAGTAAGGGCCTCAGGCCGATAGAACAATTTACTTACCTATAGTTTCTCATTACCTTTATGCCTGTGAAATATTCAGCCATCCAGCACTGGTTGTAAAATATTAAATCAGAGCTTTGTGACATTGGACAATAGGAATCGGTCCTCTTGTGAGATGCCAAATTATCAAAGCGATAGCGAGGACTCGAACATTGCAATATTAGTTCTTCAGAGAGTTCTTGAGAGTTGATAGCGTGCCTTCTCTGTAGGGTAGAAAAAAAGAGAAATGGTTCCTTATTAGCTCTGTTGGAATGGTAGAGATTCTTAAGCTTTGATTCATGGATTGTTGCCATCTTGGGAGGCATGAAGATTTGGAGAAGGGGCAAGGCAAGGCTGTTTCTTTGGAAGTGGATTGGTTTCAGTTCTTCCGAGCATTTATTTGTGTTTGTGACAGGTATGGGTTGGAGAAAGAATTTCAAAAGGAGCATTACAGAAACGAGGGAGCTAGGTACATCTAGCCTATCAAAGAGAAGGATTGAGGAGTGGGGGGGGGAGAGGCATGATAACTGTCAGCTAGTACTTGAGGGGCTGTCACAAATTAAAGGGGATCTCTAGGGCCCCAGAGGATGGGGCAAGAAGTAATGAGTGGAAGCTTATTAAAGAGAGATCCAACCAAGAAGTAAGAAGAAATTTTCTGGCAGTGAGAACAATTAATCAACAGAGTAACTTGCTTCCTGGAGTTAGAGGTACCCCATTATTGAAGGTTTTCAAAAATAGACCACAACCATTTGACTGGGGTGGTATGAGACTCCTGCTGTGAGCAGGGAGTTTAGAATGAATGAATGAGCTGGAAGGGACCTTGGAGGTCTTCTAGTCCAGCCCTTTGCTCAAGCAGGAGACCCTACCTATACTATTTGGAAAACATCTGCAAGGAAACAAACCACCTAAGGGAGCACCAAAGACCCCTCATTGCAAAACAGGACGAACTTTTGGCCGTTCCCTGTTTTGCAACCTTCAGGGGATTCCCTTGCAGGTAACTACCGAGGAATCATAGCAAATGAGGACACCGGGTGAGAGAATCCTTCCTTGGTCCTGGTTTCGGCCTAAGTTCATGTCTTGAGAGAAGCAGGAGGCTCTCATCCTTGGGACTCCCCGTCGGACACCTGAGGAGACTGACAGTTAACCCAGTCCTGGGTCAACCAGGAGCTTTACCAGCAAAGGACGAGAAGCGTAGGCCTGTGGTGAGTCCTGGTGGACTACAACTCCCATCCACATGATGGGCGCGTGATGTCACAGGGCCCGTGGCTACCCACCTGTGGGTGAAGCCCCACCCCACCCCAGCAAGATCCATACTCACCGAAGTGCCCCGAAAGTCACCATGGTCTCCTGGCTTGACCGGCTCCCTGGAGTAGAAGGCCTCTGAGGCCCGTGATTCTATGTTCTAAGACATGGTTCCTCTCCCTGGTGGTTTATTTTTGATCCAGGAACTGACTTAGCCCAATCTTTCCTATCTTGCTGCCCTATAATTCTCATCTAGCATCAGATAGAAGGGAGACCCTGACAGGTCACGAGGTCCAGAATCTGCCCCTAAAAAGTAATAAAAGAGAGAGTGAGGAATATTTGATTTTGATAATCATGCACATGTAATAATAAGAAACACATATTTAATAACTTTTTAGAGAAACTACAGTATGTAGTATTCTAAGTGGGGGGGCGGGACTTTAGGATTTTTGATAATGATTAAGGGCTGTTTGATTTAACGTCTCCACACGAAAGGTCAACTCTGTTCTGGTAAGAAGACTACTTAATTGAAGATAGTTGGCATGGTATCAAAAGCAACAATAGGTGCTCCTGGTGAATAGCAAAGCAGATAGGAAGGGAATGAAGCCTGAAGATCTGAGTCTCAATTATTTTATTTATTAAATTGATACGCCACCTATCTTACAGTCATGCAACTTACAATCTGATAAAACAACATTATGAAAAATTTAAATAAATATTATTAAAAAAATAAAACAGCAAGACAATAAATATAACATTAAAAATAAACATAACCTAATAATGATATCTTAATATCTTCTAAAACATGCCCTGTTTGTAAGCAAGTACTTTTGATGTCATCTCTAGCAATTGTCTGTGTGGACACATTTCCTTGAAAACTACAAGTAGACCTCGACTTATGACCACAATTGAGCCCAAAATTTCTGTTGCTAAGTAAGACAGTTATTAAGTGAGTTTTGCTCCATTTTACAACCTTTCTTGTCACAATTGTTAAGCGAATCACTGAAGTTATTAAATAAATCCGGTTTCCCCATTGACTTTGCTTGTCAGAAGGTCTCAAAAGCCGATCACATGACCCAGGACACCGCAACTGTTCATAAACACATGCCAGTTGGCAAATGTTCAAATTTTGATCATGTGACTGTGAGGATGCTGCAACAGTCATCAGTGTGAAAAATGTATGTCACTTATTTCAGGGCTGTTGTGACATTGAACAGTTACTAAACAAATGGTTGTAAGTCGAGGACTACCTGTATGGAGCATTCATCCAAGTCAGAGGTCTTCAAACTTGGCAAGTTTAAGACTTGTGGACTTCAACTCCCAGAATTCCTGAGCTAACATGACTGGAGGAGGAATTCTGGGAGTTGAAGTCCACAAGTCTTAAAGCTGTCCAGTTTGAAGACCCCTGATCCAAGTAATACATTTAAGATAAGGTTTCTTCTCCACACTGATGAACTTCCAGATTATGAACAGCCAGTGAACCAGAGTTAAAGAAGCATGATAGTATTTTGTTTTTCCCCAGTAAAATTAGAGTCATCTTCCTCTTCCTCTTTTCTGGATCCTTTCTCAGAGATATCTATGCTTTATCCTAAAGTAGGATATATTCTCCCATGTTTTACCTGTCAGTTCGATGTTACCTTATTTGTTTTTAAAACACCCAGTACCCAGGTGCAGAATCCTACCTAGTTGGCAGGGCTTGGTTGACTTCGAACTTAGCTGGGGTTCAGGTTCAGCCAGGGCCAGGCTCAAGAATCACGCCTGGGAGAGCACTGCAGCTAAGCTTCATTTTCCAAGTGCTCCATTCCTCCTTCCTCTTTCCTATTTAAGGAAGCTCCCCGTGGATAGTTGAGAGCAAGAATAAATGAGGGAGGAGAGATTTTTCAGAGAGAGCTGACAGACAGGTGACTGTTGCTAAACCTCCTCTTTGTACACTGATTTTCTCCTGCACATCTGTTTTCTGCCCCACCTTTGTGAATTCAAAGGAATATCAGGCCAGACAAAGAATTTAGCTATAAGAGAGAGAAACGCAAGGTGGGCTAATTGATGAAGGCAGTGACATGGATTTTTAAAAAATGCTTTTACTTTGCATTTCGTTGGAAAGGTTCCCGATGCAAAGTATATGTTTGTGTGACGGTAAGAAGCAGTCAGTCTCTGT